TAAAAGGTTTTTTTAGTCTGTTATTTTTACGAATGTCAAGAAGTCAAAGGAGACCACAGCATGGCACATGTTTAAACAAGAAAGGTTTATGCATTAAAAAGATTTTTTAATCAAACAGACACCACAACAATGGCCCGGTATCACACAATTACATGATCTTAAACTGAAGCTGTCAAATCATAATGAAGCAGTTTAATTCAAGCTGCTTTTCATATTTTTGCCCAGCAGATGTCACAAAAGACACTGTGTTAAAAGTAGAGTATTGAACCTTTTTCAATACAAGCTTCAATGCTCGAGAAAAACTTAATTTGGCCATCACTACTGAAAGCTGTTCAAAAGGACCTAAGAACAACTGAAACAAAAACCAAAGGCTTGGTCGACGGCCATTCTTCTTACAGGGTCACCTTGAACAATCCCTCACCTGCATCAACCCAGGTGTATAAAGCTTAAGCTCCTCCCCAGAAAAAACTGTGTGTCACAAACCGGGCCGCACGGCCATGACAAAAAACCCAGACATGATTAGGAAGGTTTCCAGACTACTTTATTTATTTATTAATAAATAAAACAGAAGAAAACCTACTGTCAAAAAACACAAACTGTGGTGTGTGTAGTCAGTACCATCAGCAGAGTGAGGGAGTGCATGGGTGGGAAAATGGCGCATGTAATGGTGTTAAAAGCCAAACCAAACGCCTGGTGGCATTTGGTGTCACTGATTGTAAACGCAAACTCCGCCTCTCCAACGCCTGCAAACAAGACACACATAAGCCAAAAGGGTCGTCACATATGCAAGCAGTTATTAGTTAAGTTACATATCAAATACTTTTGCACACTAGCATCTATTTACCCCTTCTGAGGCTTTTACACAAAAACACCAATACACAATTTAGTTAACACGATTCAAGAGACAATTAAAAAAAAAACTCTGATAAACTTTGTTAGTCAGATGTACCCTTAGCCCCCCCTCCTCAACTCAGAGATGGTCTTTCCCTTTTCACGTAAACGGAGAAACCAGTGAGTGAACAGACGTGGACAGTTCTTTGGTAGCTAGCTCGTCTTGGATTTACAGTACTTGCTTAAAGATGCAGTCCCACCACCTCTCTTACTACTTCTATGAACCGAAATGTTTTGTAATTACTGAATGCATGTTTTTGATACCATCTCTTCTCTTTATTGCACCTGCATGCATAAAAGCCTCAGTACAAAATTAAAGCATGATCATTACCTTTTCCTTGTGTTATTTCTCATTGTGTTTGAAGCACAATTGAAAACAATAATGTTAGGATGTAAACCAACACCAAAGAAGAGGTGAGGTGGTTCTTGGGGCTGGCTGGCTATTATCACCAGTTCAACTTTGCCAAGCTGACCAGCCTGGCAAAGATTAGTATGGGAACCCTAAGATCAGTAATGAAGCATGGAGACAAGTGCCTGTGATCAGCTGACCTGTGCTGATATTCTTTCTGGATTTTGCCACACAGCATTCAGCAATACATAAATGAGTCATCACGCCTACTAGACATGTGGAAATCACTGAGTTAATCTAATCAACAAAACTTTAACTTGATGTCTGCTACTATTGATGTAACCCAACTTTGACCATGAACGTCACAACTGCTCTGTAGCAATTCAGCTTCAAACTGCAAACTAACCAGTGGAGCCTGCACTAAACTGTTTAGGAGGTTCATGCAACCTTAAGACATCAATTTGTTTTGGAAGGATGTTTCCCCACATGAAAAGAGAACTTCAGCAGCTACGTATAGATCCAATGTCTGTTTAAAAACCTCTAAAATTAATGGGGACATTACATGTGAGCTTTTGTTTTCAATTGGTACTGAAGGAAAAGCAGGGAGGTGCCTTAATTAGAAGTTTTGTGCAGATATTTACATGATGCTACATGTGTACAGATGTGTTTTGTGACCAAATGATGTAGATCTGTCTTTTATTGTTTCACATGGATAAAAATCCACTAAACAAATAACTGTCCTCGATACGTTAAGAAGGAAATGCAACAATGATGCAGTAGAATTTAGAGATTCACTCTAACATGTATCCTGTCAAGTGAAAGCCTCGATACTAGCTCAACGTTACCCATGAAAGGGTTAGCTTGGAGCTAGCAATGCACTGTTTTAATGACATGGCAATCTTTTCATTTTGTAAAATAGTAAACAGCATGCAGAGCACTTAAAAGATGTTCTTCCTCACACACTCACTTGGTTGAAGCAGCATTTTCCACTGTAAAAACACAGAGACTTTGGTAAACCAGTAATAACATGAATTCATTACATTAACTGTCACTGGTGACTGCCTACAGCCAGCTTTACTAGTGTCTGTTTAGCATGACTTGTCTTTCATACCTGGTTCAGTCCAGCCTTGCTTTAGATGTGGTTTAAACAAGTGTTTAACTGACAATTTCTATTTACGTATTGACGTTTAAATCCATAGGCGTCTATATTTCTAATGTGTTCAGTGACACATGTATTAGCTGCCATACTCGTGTAAAGAAGTTCTTTCATGCTACACCAACTGGTTAAATGTCTGTTTATTATGAGAGATAAGAAACGTGCTGATTGCTGTTCCTCTCTACGGTGCAAATGAAATGGCTTTGAGACTGACACAACTTTAACAGGCTGATGGGGTATGTCATGCTGCCAGGTGGGCAGGCAAGGCTGAAATACTAGTTTGTCAATGTGATACATGGAGAAAGCAGTGACATGGGAGTTTCAAATGTGTCTACTAAAAATAGAATAGAATAGAATTCAACTTTATTGTCATTGCACATGTCACAGGTACAGGGCAACGAAATGTAAGTATATTATAGAAATGGGTCTATTATGGTATGTTATAATGTACACGGTATGAAGTATGTTGTGAATATTCTATAATCCTTGTCCATAGTCTTATTACATCCCGTATTGATTACTGTAATTCCCTCCTATTTGGTCTCCCTAAAAGGTCCCTTCATAAACTCCAACTTCTTCAAAATTCTGCAGCTCGGGTCATAACTTGTACTCCGTTAGGTGCTCATATTACCCCAGTTCTTCAGCAGCTTCACTGGTTGCCCATAGAAGCCAGGATAAATTTTAAAATCTTACTTCTTGCATACAAGTGTATCCATAAATCTGCTCCTTCATATTTGTGTGACCTGCTCCATATCACCACTGTTTCCCGCACTCTCAGATCATCATCTGCCATTCATCTTACTGTTCCGTCATCACACCTTATCACTGTGGGGAACAGAGCTTTCAGTCGCTCTGCTCCTCGGCTCTGGAACTCTCTTCCTCCTGCACTAAGAAATATTGACTCCCTCTCCGTATTTAAGACACAGCTCAAAACACATCTGTTTAAACTGGCTTATTCGCTTTAATGCTGATTTTATCTGTTGTCACGCTCTGTTTTGTAATCTTAACTTACTTTATGTATTTTATGACTATTGTTCCTTATATTAATTGTGTTTTTTGTAAGGTGACCTTGGGTTTCTGAAAGGCGCCCTCAAATAAAATGTATTATTATTATTATTATTATAACTATAAGTATGTACAGGCTGTAGTGAGTACAAGCTATGTACAGGCTATGAACAGGATATAAATATGAAAAACTATACAGAATATGAAATAAATAACTTA